AATGCTTTTATCAAATAAAAATGTTATATCTTATATTACTGAGAAAAGGAACAGTTGATAGGAAATTTGTAATAAAAAGAAACGAAGCGTAGGTGCGTGTAGGTATGGCCTTTTACTTCACACAATCAGGTTCTCTTTCGAACACACAATATCCCAACTAAAAAGTTTAAACAAAGAATATCGAAGGTAACCAATGTATCGTTAAGAAGTTGGTTTCTCGCGACATTTTTTTTAGTTTGAATAGAAATTTATTTTTTAATAATTATTTTGCAACAATTATTTTGCTTTTGTCGCTCCGTTATAAGACAATTATCAAAGCTCACAAGAAACCATACGTACATTGTAGTAACCATATCATATACCATCGCGTAGAAATCTATATATATTTATATATCATAACGCAAGTTGAAAAAGACAATCATAACATACATACATCGGGCATCTATATAATAATTATACGAAATACATTTTGCAAAAGATCACAACAATTATGCAAAAATAGACGTTATTCGCCGCCCGTAGTAACCGCAAGAAAAACGAAACCGTCTATCTCTTTTCTTGGCGTTGCAACACGTGGCGAATTAACCGCAACACTCGGCAATGTAGGTTACAGTTGCATATTCGTCGACGTAAAAGTTCTAATGTTTCCTTTTTTTTTTCCTTCAATCTCTTTTTCCTTTTCAATTAATTTATTCTTTTTTTTTTCTCGCGTTAGCACTTCTGCAAATAGCCCTTTGTAAAAATCTGTGTAGTTTCAATATCTAAGATCGTAGGGTATCTGTTGCAATATCACTGCGACATATTCTTTGTTTTTTCTTTTATACCCCTTCATTTTGTGACGATACCGTGACCAGAGCTAAAAGTTTCCTCCCGTTTATGGTATCCCTAATATGTTATATATATATACGAGTATCTAAGAAGGCCAAGGAACCACCAGCTGCCTATTTCATTACGAGAAGGAAAGTTTTTTCGTGAAAACTTTGCCCCGGTACGGTGTTTGTTATTTGCTTTTTTTCCCTTTTAAATACTTCCAGCGATGATATATAATACGAACAAAATTAAGGCCCCTAGCCACGGTATCCATACGAGCGTAGAGGAACCAAATGTCTCTCCTCCTTTCCCTCCCTTACACTCTCACTTAAACACTACACATTTTGACAAATAATTAAGTCATCACAGAAGCATCATATTATCATATTCAATTAAACTACATATTTTGTGAATGTTCTTGTTCAGTTAAGGGCAGTAATATTACAATGATCGAGTACAAAATGATTTTAAAGTTTTCAAGCCTAGTATAAAGCACTATTATATATATATGTATATATATTATAAGTGTGCTTACATGTCAACGCATACCATACATGTATAGTTACTATATATGGTATGTGTACACACATATGGTCGCAATTACCACTTAAAATCTAATTGTAGCGGTAGTATTCTATCATTACTCTCTATGAATGAAAAGCAACCCTTTAATAACGAACGGAACACCAAAAAGCTATATATAAAAAGAACTTTAAGGTTAAAAGAACACGTAACATGATTAAAAGAAAAACCGATAATCGTTCCGATCCTCCTCGATCTCGAACCGAAACAAAATGGTTTCTTAACGAAGTAATTAAGTAAATAACAACACCACAGTTGTTAAAAATAAAATGAAATGAAATATACTGAAACAAGCGCGTTATAAAAATTGTAAAATATTAATTACTTCGACATATACAATCAGTCACAAACACATAAGGTATTCTTTTTAATGCCATCTTTCTAGAAGATCCACCACCATCGTGTAAGTGGTAAGCACATCAGAACTGAAAATAATATCTTACACACAGTATCTTTCGACCGAAGATAGTACGTTTCTCACGTATTTTTAAAACTAAAATAAAAATTGTGTGGATAGTTAGATGAAGGCAGTGATTTTTTCTTTTGCACAAGTATAAAGTTGGAGGAAAGAAATCGATTAATTCTTTCATTATATAAATGTTTCTTTTGAATTGCTTCGAATATTTTATCATTTTATCTAATCGAGTAATTTAGTCCCCCATCCACTGTAGTAAAAGGAAATTCTTAAAATTGCAAAATTTCTCCAGCTACTAATAACCGCTTGCATTAAGTTCCATAATTTTCTTCCAGCAAACGAAAATGGCACAAAGCGTAATGGAGTCTTGGTTAAAGCACAGTGCGAGTGCGACTCCTTTAATTGATTCCAAAGTTTAAACACGTAACTCCGATGATCTAGCGAGTGACTCTGCAAGCCTGTAGCCAAATCTCGCTCTCCTCATTCTTCGATTTTTTTGTAACGACGAAAAGATATTTTAACGAGGATCGCGATCAAGAATGTAACGTTATGTTTACCCAGAGCTGGCAGTCTCCTTTTCAGTTGGCAGGCCAGATTGCTCAGACAGAGCTGCTTTATTCTGTCTTACCATCTCCGCGCGCCTCTCCTTTGGAAGAAGAAAAGAAGAAATGAATAAATTTTGTTAACCATAGGTATACAAACAATTTAAAACTATTCTAAAACAGAAAATGTTCAAGTGTAACATGCCAGAATAATGGAGCATAACTGAAACTAACATCTATGAGGTATAATGGCTCATAAACGCAGGGTCATGCTAAAAAACAAGTAACAAATAAAATTAGGTATACGTAATTATGCAGAATATAAAATGAACTCCTATTACGGAATAATATATGCATTCTCTGCAACAAAATATGGCGAAGCATGATTAAATATTCAGGAAAAAATTCTAACGATATCTATCGGTAGAGCCTACTGACGGGCACAGGAATATCCTACTGAAACTGGGGAAGGGGGGGGGGGGGGGATGAAGAAGAGACAATAAGAATATTGAATCAACAGAAAGAGGGCGAAATTACACGCTGGTGAATAGCCTCAACACGACGTTGAATCTCTCGCTGTCGGTTCTGCTCCGCAGTAGAAACCCTCTTGTCAAATTCGAACTTTTTCACCAGAAGTTCTCTCGTTGCACTCTCATCCGCCATCTGACGCACTTTTGCTATCTTCACGGTGTTCTAAACGACCATTTCAAATTCCCTTATTGGGTGACATTGTCGACAGATGTTGTGAGAAAGGATTTCCACTAATAGAAATCAAGTTCGGAAAACTGTTATATTCAATTAACTAACAGAAAAAACAAAAAGTAGAGAAGAAAAAAACGCGTTTTCGAAACTTGACTAAAACCAGATGCGTGTGTGCGTGTATATATACATATATACTTCTACAGAAGCGAGAAATCCTTCCTGATACTGGCCAAAAAAAACAATCCAATAGAAAAAACCCATAGAACTAATACCAAGGTCTAAGTGAACGGATAATCGTTGGCACTTACATAATTACGCAGCTTTTCCTTTTGTTCACGCTCGATATTCTGACGGCGTTCGTGAGCCTGATCCAACTTGCCTTGAATCTGTGATTCAAGTTGCATCACGCGCTCGGTTATCCCTTGACGTACACGGGCCACTTGTTCCTCCTAAAAAAGATTCCAAGATACGAACGATATGAAAATCTGTACACGTGACAAATTCACCGAACAATTTTTGTTCAAACTAACATGTTCCTTCAGACGATCCAGCATCCTCTTAATGTTCTCATCGCGTTGAGCAGCAGCAGACTTCAGCTTCTCTTCAACGGCGCAACGAACTTCCTGAGTCTGTTGTTCCAGGCTCAAACGGGTCTTCTCCACACTTTCTAACTGTAACGAAGACATAAAAAGAGAATAATGTGAAAAGAAGAAGGAAAAAAGAAAAAAGATATGAATAGAAGAAGAATGTTCATTTCGAGGGAAATGAAAAGTGGTCAACTAACGTGTTCCTTCAACTTGTTCTTCAATTCGGCGATGTGAGCCTCTCGCTTCTCTTCCGTGTTGTTCATCTTAGCGTCCAAAGACTCGCGAGTCGCGGCAATGAAAGCGGCGCTAAGTTCATCCTTCTTGCGAGCGGCATCTTCAATTTTCATAAGCTTAGCGGCGAGGGCAGCGATTTTATGAGCTTCCAGGGAAAGTCTTCTCTCCTCCGCCGCTTTAAGCTTATCCTCAATAGCGACTTGTTGAGTCGGAGACGTCTGTGGTGGCGACGGTGCTCTCTTCGGCACTGTTGGCTCTGCTAAGATTACCTCGTAGCACAGTCCACCCTTAGATTTCTCCTGGCATCGAATTTCCGTCGCTACAGACGCGTTAATGAATAACATCGATTAATTGAAATGTTTTATTAATAGGTTATATCAAACGAATAATTAACCACTTAATCCCATAACGAATTAATGAATACATAATATAATGAATACAATTTTACTTTATTTCTCAATTAACATTTTATCGGTTTTATAGTATTATACCTACTAGGTGTCTAAAAATTAACTGGGTCTTTTTTAACGAAAGTGAGCGAATTTTTACTAGTTCATTTGTAACAGTAACTTTATATTTTTATTATAAATACTGGGTGTCCCGAAATTAACCGGGTATTTAATTTAATTTGGTTTACTTTCAATAGTAAGTTTCTTATAATTTAAATTTATTGTCTGGAACCACAAGCCACGGTAAATACGCAAGAACGATTCCAGATTTTTTTAATTTCTTCAGAAGTACACACATTGCATTGTCTGTAGGATCGGGTCTTTGAAATTCTCTTAATTACGCTACATTTCACCCTTTGATGCGGGATGTTACAACCTCGTTCGTTCTTGCGTATTCATCATAGTTCATAATTCTGAAAAGAAAAATTTATAAAAAAAAAATATAAATTCACGAGGTTGAAAAAAAATTACTATTAACCCTTACGTCAACGGCCGAAATGTATAACGTTGTTCAATATCCGGGGTACACGGGTGCCCACTTCCAGAATTCGTCTAATAAACGCATTTTATCACGCGCAAATCCTAATCTTACTGTTGCCTGGGAGAAAGTTTGAAACTTGTTTTCAAAATATACAAACAGACGTTAATATCGATTTCATAAACACACGTAGAGCGTTTTATCGTGAAACCTCTCGACAAAGAGTGCAAGTTAGACGATCCTACTTCAGTATGTATGTACATGGCATAAAAATATGGTGGATCTGCGATGCGGAAAATGCCTACCCACTAAATGGTTCAATTTATACTGGGAAAAGAAGAAATGCACGTTGAAGCCAATCAAGGCGAAAGAATGGTGAAAGAACTTGCAGCAAATTATAAAGGATCTGAATGAAATATATGCATGGACAATTTTTTTAACATCTTTGCCCCTAGCTAAACGTCTGCTTTCTTGGAAGTTGACAATTTTTGGCACTTTGATGATCGCAGATCGAGAGAAGAATTGTCAACGATATTTGGATTCCACGAAAGAATAACCCTTTGCTCTTACACTACCGGCCAAAAGTTTGGAATCACTGAGCATTGCCAATTTACACAAAAATTTCGTGAAAAAAGTCAGCGACATTGAGAATTTTTTATCATTCGAATCAATTGATATGAGATAAATTGATAAATGCAGAATTGAGATAAACTTCAAATCTATAAAAAATTAGCAGCAGATTTAGTACTGATGAAAAGTGGGAGGTGATTCCAAACTTTTGGCCGGTAGTGTACGTGCCGAGAAAAAATAAAGCAGTCTTCGTACTCAGCACGGTGCACACAGATATGGCGATAGGTATGAAACGACGCTAAGAAGAAACCAGACATTAGACTTTATTATAATAAGTGCAAAAGTGGCGTTGACATTATGGACCAAATGTTATAGAGCAACGATAAAAAAAAAACGCAGAAAAACTAAAAAATCTTGTACCGCGTGCAGAAAGCCTGTCTGCGAGGAGCGTACGATAACAATTACCAAATGTAAAAAATTGCGTTTGAATAAATAATTATTATTGTTTAGACATTTGTAATTATTATATATACTACTACAAATGTGAGCACCCAATACCAATTGAGAACGACTATGTGAACTTCGACTCAAAAATTGTTCTGCGCTAGACGAAAAAAAAGAACATATGCAAAAGATACTTCGCTTGTAGAAGTTTCAAATCGCGACGATTCGAGCGGCCCTTAAAAAACTGTCCCTGCTAAGCAAAAAGTTTTCACAAAATGTATTCAGATGGGAGCACCCTGGTATCGACATAAGGGTTAAACATACGTTTATTTTCGAAACACCCACGCTGTATTAAAAGGAAAACAATTCGAACAGGATTAACATTCCTCGAGCCAACAGTTTAATCAATTATCGCCACTCGTAATCTAGCCAAAAATCTGCATACGCGTAACGACGCCAGTAAAAAATTTCCATAATTCATTCATCGTTATTTCGCGCGCCCCCCCTCCACTATCAAGTCAGATGCAATTAAAAGCATCCAGTCTGGCAGAGCGGCGAGAAGCAATCCACTTTGACGGAAGTTATCTCGATCCGTCCATCTCTTGGTTGGTTTCGCTTGATAACGTAGTACAGAGTTACAGAAGTATGACTCAGAAACGCGAGAAGGAAAGGATCGATCAGCCCACGGGACGATTGTCTCTAGGCGCCTCGACGTCTAGCGTCGGCACACGCACTTTTCAGCGGCGGCCAACCCTCTAACGTACTACACCGCACGCCGCAACAACGTTCTTCGACATTTGCTGCCTTCGATTTATAATTCACCGGCGACATATTGGCGACCGTATACATATATATATATATACACACACACGTGTGTGTAGTAGAGTTCGTTGAACTTTGGCGAGCAGTGCAATTTGTTCAAACAATCGATCGAAAGGTGGACTAATTTTTCCATCGATGAAACACCGTTTTACGATCAATTTTAACGTACGAAATGAAATTTTGTTTCTTTTTATTTTCATTACATCATTTTATACGATCTTTCCGTGTCCAAGAGAGAAATCGAACGTAAAGTTAAATGAAAAGTGAAGGCGCTCTCGGTGTTAATTAAAAATCGAGAGAGATGATATACTCACTGATGAACTGTACTT